TCTAGCGAAAGATATTTTGAAAGGAAAAATTAGACTGTTGAGGATGACGTGTGGCATTTGGAGCAGGTATAGGAAGAGAAGTAATAAAAAGTGGAAGATCAAAGTACCAGAGTTCTTATTAAAAACATCAGAATTATAGATATTGGCAAGTAGTTAGGGTCAAGACAGGATGCAGCTTTCCCAGCTGCTTTAAACACAAATGGAAATAATTTCCATTATTTTATTTAATTTTAGTTTAATTTTATTTTATTTTTGGAGATTGAGTTAAAATTCTGGCTATAGCTTTATTTTTTTTCCAAATGATTGTTGATCATTACTTATGAGCAACAGAAAATGTGACTGTGTGGGCTGGCTATAATGAAGCTAGGATTTTGTGTTCATTCATCACAAGATGTAACCCTTAAGTGCATCTGTTATCTATTTCGAGATCTTTTTTCTTACGGGGTAGGTTTAAGGATGATTGAGCTAATGAAGATATTTGTTGAAAATCTTCAGGGAAGCAGGTACATAGAGGCTTCAAGGTGGTGGCTCTGTGCTTGACTCAGTCATGACAGAAAAGTTACAGGAAAGTTGGGGTTTATCTTAGCTAACTTTAGTCTCATGATCCTTACTTATAATTTAAGACAATAGTTAGGACTCTGCTGCAGGGAAATTCATCTGTTATCTTACACATCTATCTTATGATGAGAAGGACTGGCATATGAATGCGCCTCTCTCTCTCCATTTAACATAGAGAAAGCCTAAATAAGAGCCTAGGTGAGACACAACTTCTAAATGTCTGAAATTGGATAACATAAATCTTGCCTTAGGAATAAATTGAAAATCTTCAAACTTGCTTAGGGTGAAACCTCCAAGGAGCTCAAGGAGATAGCTCCTGCTAACAGCTGGTAGGAACCGAGGTCCAGACATCAGAAAAGTACCTGTGTACTCCAGTCTCAGGTGTTAGGCTCTCTCCCTCTAGAAAAGGAGATGTATGATAACAAAAGTCTGCATGAAGTCCCAGCTGATCTAAAGCTCTCCAGTCGTTTGTTGCTTACATATAATTACTCTTAGCTTCAGGACCAACATAAGCAAAGAGCTGCTGACAGAAGAAGAGGGAATGAAGCTAGGCGTAAGCTTGAACACAGTCACATATAAGAATTAGCACAGAGTATGGAGACTTGCATTCATATTCTCTGTGCAAACAGCTGAAGCTGTTTAAGGAAATACCTTCTCAGCTGTTTGCTTACTGGAAGTTTATCGTTCCTGTGGCAGTGCTGGTGGAAAAGAGCGTGTATGCGTCAGCAGCTCCCACACGCGGACCTGCATCTTAATGCAACACCGTTTTTATTAATGGTTTCAGCTAAGATGTTGGACCCTAATGTGGCCATCAGGGACATGTAGGCACAAATTGAATTCTTCTGATGCTGTCGTGAGTATGCAGAAGGACAGAGTAGGCAGTGGAAGTCTCTAAATTAGAAGCCCAACATCCGCCAGAGATGCTTTATCAAAGCCTTAAGTCAGTGCAGAATTTGGTTCATCTTCAAAAGCCTTTGTCATTCATCTACAACTCTGTATCACAACAGAGGTTTGCTTATGTAAGGGACACACTTCCTGCTAGAGTGAGCTTTTGAAGGTAACAAAGGTTTAAATGCTTAAATGGGAATTAAATACTTGACTCCTGCTGACTTTTAGTGGGACCTGGCTGCCTGATTGCACTTTGCACCTTTCAAAGGTTTCCCTGTGTATTTCAATGCACTGTTTCTTTTGCATACATTTCTCTGAGATGTCTTCAGTCCTCTCCTACAAACTGCCATGCTATTTTTTGCATATTCATATCTCTGTATATGTATCACTCCAGTTTGGAGAGGCCAACTGTTCCCTCTGTTTTCAAATGAAGATAAAATGAATCAGTGTTACTTCCACCCGTATCCTTGTTCCCCCAAATGCTTTCACAGATGTACTAGGAACATGCAGTTCTGTGGTCTGTAACAGTAATACCCCAGACTGGGCTGTTTTCAGAAACCACCCTTTAGGGAACTGTGCAATTATAAGTAACTCAGACCTAGTAGGAGTGATAGCATGTTACATGAGGAAGCCTCCCATGAGGGTGCTCAGATGACAGCAAATCTTTAGCAGGAAAAATGTTCACAGAAGCAAATGATATCTGCAAAAGTGCAAGCTTCCAGACATCTAATTTGTTTCCGCAGGGGAAGAAAGTTACTATCTTTCCAACAGTGGACAGCCCAGTACTTACTAAATGACTTTAAAGAAACTCTACTAATTGAAATATCCTGTCTTTTCAGTATGTTGTGTACATTTTAGCTTACTGTCTGGAAGACTGATACAAATCTGTACATTCTCTCTCCCTCAGACTAGAAATCTAGCATGTATTCCTGACTATAAGGAAACTTCTGCTTTGCATCCTGCTGGGGGAATGAGTTCACATCACAGCATCACTGCACGTCACTCACACTAGCTCAGCACAGGTATCAGTGTAAGCTCAGAATGGAACAACGAATCAAATCCGTATTCCTGATGAGGGAAAAGAATGAGGGAAGGACTGAAGATAACAAAGTACAGTGGGCTGGTGATGAAGACCAGGGGGAAGGGAACGGTCTTCAGCTGGTAGACCTTTAACCTATGCAAGACGAAGCATTTTTCCTTGATGTTCCAGTAATAATAATATCAGCATAAGAGTTTAATAAGAGTAAAGAAAAGGGAAGCCATGCAAGTCTTCCCTATATGTGAGACACTGTCAGGTTCCACCAGCTGTGCTGGCTTGCTTCCTGTATCTGGGCTCCAAAATGGGTGAACAGAAAACTCTGAGAGAACTATTTTAAGAACTCTGGCACTGAGTAGAGTGGTAAAGGAACAAAACAGCAACAACAAGAAAACCAACAACCCTCCACTTCTTTACTGAAATTAGAGTCTGTTGAAAGCATTTCTGTTTGGCTGCCACAGTTCGCCAAGCAGCCTAATGTGCCAGCTATTAGTACCCAGCAGAGAGCGTGTTTGCAGCTATTCAGCAAAACTATCACAAGTCGTTAGCCAAGGCAAGAGGGATCAGCTGCCGAACACTGGAGCTGATGAAGACCAGACCTATTAAAGCAAGCAATAAAATAAATAAATAAAAAACGAAATGGAGACTGATTTTTGCTATTACTTTTTTAAACCTAATGGATGACATTTGTAACTGGAAAGGATGAGTCAGAGTGTGCTGTGCCAGTATGGGGTCTTTCTGGTGTTTTCATCTTGCTTTTCTTCCTTCTTTGGCTGGGACCATTCTGTTTTGTAAGTTGCAGTTTCCTTGCAGTGTTAGGGGAGGGGTGCATGTGTGTGTATGTGCAGGTGTATAAATAGTGACCATAGCTCAGCGAACTGAAAGTAAGGAGCAAAATTACCCAACTCAGAGAGAAAATCTGTAGGGAGAAGTGAGACTACTTTACAGTGCTAGGACCTCCTAGATATGCTATTGCTGCCAAAGTGTTATTGCTGCCAAATGTGGCAGTGACGTGAGTGTGGGAGGCAACCACCCACTCGCTAGTGAGGACAAAATGGACACAGCTCAGTCTCCGCAACCGCTAATCTCATCCAAAAAGCTTTAAAAACACAGAACTGTTTGTCCTTTTGTAGCACATGAGCAAATAGAATCCATTTGCTACAGAACTTCTTTATTTGTAATTACATATCTTTAGCACATAACTAAGAAACAAATTTTATAACAGTTGTTGCAATGATATTAGAGTCTGATTACCTCAGAAACAACACACCTGATTCCAAATTCTGGTCCCATAAAGGTCTTTCTATATTGCAAGAGCAGCCTCTTATCATTTCCCGGTAAGAATACATTGAGGGTTCCCTGGTCTAGAAGAGTCTTGTGCTGGTATAAAATCAACATTGTTTTACAGCAGCTTCTCTTAGCCCACAGCACCATATCACAGGATTCATGATAGGACAAGCAAATTCCCACTAGTACTATCCCTAAGACTCATGCAAAGCCATGTAACATAGCTAGGACCACTTCAGCTTGCACTAAGGGTTGGTCCCCCCCATGACTTCTCCAGGTCGCAGGAAGGTGCAATGCACACGGAGAACCTTTGCCTCCCTTTTCCCACAGCAGATATAGGTCATGCTTAGCACAGCTGAAAATTGAGCCCTCAGGCAGCGTGCTATAATGAATTCACTAGATTAGCCTGTGAAAGCCAATGTGAACAAAACAACCAGCTGGTTCAAGAATATTTTGTGTTAATGTGAAAATGCTACAGGAGCGGAGAGATAGGCTTCAAAACTGCACCCTTTCATTCCTTGGAAGATTATCACTGTATTTTCTTTTATATGGGTTGTTATAGCCTGCATATGGCTGTGAAACTGAAAAGAAGTGCAATATTTTCCTTCTGTATGCAGTGTTGTATGTTGTAGTCATTAAAAATAACAGACAGTGTCTTCTTGAAAGAATGCGATGCACCTTGGTAAAAGACGATTCCTCCAGGACTTGTATCTGAAGATTTAGGATTTTTAGATTTTAAGATTTTTTTTTTAATAGTGAGTGCTGGAATCCAGCCCACTGTTTAGCTCTTTGCGGCTATCTTTTAAAAAATTCTGGACAATTAAAAGCACTTAGGAATATTGACAATCATTATTTCTAAAGAATTTGGAAAAGTAAAGTAACAGACATAGGGTAGTAGAATTCCAGAATCAGAAATTGGAAAGGTATTTTGTCACTGGAACTGCAGTGATATTTTCGGCATAGATTAGTGTGAGAACAGACTCCAGCCCATTGTTTTGCTTTTGTCCTATGTCTTATGGGTTATGTTGAAACTCTGTGCTTTAAAAGTTTTGTTGTTTTTCCTTTAGCTGAGAGATGTCTTTTCATATGTGAGCCAACCCACCCACATTCCTTTCCTGTGATTATCCTCAAGAAATGGTATGAAAATTCCATACAATGTGCATACCCGATAGTGTCTCATCTACACTGGAAGCCCAGTTTCACTTGATTAATAGTTTCCCCTCCTTTCCAGTTCCCAAGGAATGTGTATTCCCATGAAGAGCTTTTGGAAAATGCATGCATGGCAATTACTGCACTGGAGGAATCTCTCTAATGGATGCCACTCTTACCATGAAAAAGAGGTAGGTAAAAACAGCCTCACATTTGGCATTTGAAAGAGTGAAAGACAACACTTAGGAATTCTAATACGGCGTTGCCCTTACAGTCTCCTAAGGAAATCCACCGTAAAATACAGTATGTGCTGAGTGCAGGCCTGGCCACCTAAATATGGATTGCTTTTGGCTTCAGCTATTTAGAAATCCCCAGAACAGGTGCCAAATTAAGTCACCCTACTAGCTGCTTTCCATAGTTGAAGGTCAGTAATAGTAATATCATGGACAGGAATTTGGATAGCACATCTCAGAATTCAAGAACAGGCTGATTGCCCTAAAACATCAATGCCTTCTTACCTCAGAAAACCTCAAGTGCAGTGCAGCTTAGTTTTGCTTTGACATGGAAGCAGTTTACAGCTTGTGAGGAAAACATATTAGTCTTTCATATCAATGTTAATTTATGCCACATTTCCTATCTATTTATAACTCAAACATCCTAAATTAGAACTATTAGATGCAAATATATTATAATCTAACAGAAGGCAAAATATTCCATAAATCTGATTTGATTAAGGGAAATATTCATTCGTATATGGCCTACTAGCTTCTACAGTTGCAATTTCAGGAACATGTTTTTCTGAAAGAACTGCTGACAACCCATGTTAAACTTTGAAGATTGGTATGTTTAGACATAATTTTGCTCTCATTTAAATCCTACTTTGTTGTCTGCTTGTTTCTTATTGTCGTCTTTGTTTCTTAGAACACTGGCATAAATGGAGAATTTTGGTTACTTGAAAGCTTTTTGATCTCCTATTTATTTACCACCTGCAATTATAACTCTTTCTCGGTGACATCACCCATTGGCTGCAGTGAAAAGAATTATGATAAATGGCTGAACAAAGAATTATTGACATCAAGTGGAAAATAACTAGCTGGAACTGATGAACTCTCAAAAAGCCTGTTTTTATGCAAGAATCAAAAATAAGAAAGAATACAATAGGAGGAATATAGAATATACTCCACATAAACTTGCAGTGCCAAGAATCAAAAATCTTGTGAAAGTGGTTGGTAATACAAAATTAACTATTCAACTTGGCTAGCTAGAGAATACTTACAAATATGAATACAAATATGAATATAATAATTGTGATATATTTCAGTAAACAGTGAACTAGTACAGCACTTGTTGTTTCTTTTTCTTCCAAACCTACTTAAATTCTAGCTGGGTGCACTTTCTGAAATATCCTTTGTCATAACTGAATTTCGTTCTGGCAGCCAAAAACAGCATAAATATATGGCAGATCCCTAATTTTATTGGTTTGACATTTTGCCTTTTTCTTTATTTCTCAGACTATTAGTTGCAGCTATCATGCATGCTGCTCTGTTCATGAAATTTAAGTCCAGACTGTCAGCAGGTATAAATCATTATAACTCTCTTAATGTGAATGGAGCTACATTTGAACTGTGTAATTCAAGAATCTAGCCCTTTTCTGAAACATGTGCTGGTATGTACTACTGCTTCTCTGTGTAAGCTGAAGTCATATTGACCTTAAACAGAGACCTTAGTTATATTTACTAGCAGGACACAGAAGTATGCAATGCCATCCAATTCCCTCTATTAGAGGTGAAATATTGCTTAATGAGGATTAACAAGCAATTGTTCCTGGGCTTCATCCACTGTTGCAGTACTTCATAGTATCACAGTGCAAAATGAAGGCAGGTAATATAGCATGTACCAGTTGTAGTTTTGGCCTCTTCTTTTGAAGGAGCTGGAACAACAACAGCAACAAAATAGAGAGAAGAGTTTCTATCAGTTTACGCTTTTGCTGTAGTGGACAGTAGACTTACCTACCTTATTTTTGGTAGTCTTGGCTTTTTATTTAGAAAGAATGTGAGCTCATTTGTTTCTTCTCCCATATAATAGCATCTATTTATCCTGGGCAATCTTCAGGTTAACATGGAGTGCAATTTTACAGGTTAACTTGGAGAGCAATGTACATGAAGTGCTCATAGCTATAGATGCATTATAGTTATAGTTGCATTAGAATGACTTTTCGGTCAAAACTGCTATGTCTTTGTTCACTGGATAATAGGATTTAAAAAGCTATTAGACTTCAGAACAAGTTGAGAGATGGCAGCATAGAAAGATTCAGTAATAACCCATACAAGAACAACAATAGGCATATATAGCCTTGCAATCAGCTTTTTTCTGTGTCCACAATCTTAACTGTATTTCCCATAGCATTTATACAAGCGCTGTGTACTAATAAGTATGCATAATGTTAAGGCTTTCCACTGTATGTTGAACTTACATAACTTATCACTTCATAGTAGAGATGATTCAAATGCATTATTTTGTTCAAAAGCAGTTGCCCTCTGAAACAACTTCATAGGTGCTCCTACTTCAAACCTAGTTACTGAAATCTAGAAGACTCTTGTATAGCTTATATTTACTGTTCACTCATCAAAGCTGCTGTGAGTTTACAGCACTGCAAAACAGAAAGAAAAGCAGGCACTGTGTATGCTCTCATCCACATGGGTCTATGTCTACATTAGTATGGAATAATACTTTTTGAAAATCCATTAGTTCTGCAGTATGGGCCAACTAAATCAGATATGGTTTAAAACAAAGGTTTGAGAGTTCAGGCAGACAGTGTATGTAAACGAGATGGCAGAAATGCTATATTCCTCTTCTGGGAATCCCCAGGAGAGGAATCCCCTCCCCATTCTTCTGAGAACCTTATAAATAAAGAAAGATGGATATCAGAAAAAGATTTTAGAACCTTTTGACTGATCCTATGAGAGACACATTTTGTATATGATCCTTTAAAAAATGTCAGCAACATTGCCTTTGCCTTTCTTGATCTTTGAATCAATACCTTCTGGCTGGGTAAGAAACTGGCAAATACATTTTGCATCCAAGCCGATTCTCTCAGAGCTGTCAGAAGCGACTTTTCACATGGAGCATCATTTATGTGACATTTATGGCTTCTGGCAAGCATGGACATAGACATGCCCAAGAGTGCCATTCTTTTCTTTCTGAGAGGACTAACCTCACAGCCATTCTTTTACTCAAGAAGCCAAATATTTTGTGGCTTGGTAGATTTTTCCGTCACCCCTTTTGTTTAAAATTATATATGTAGTCACTAAAGGGAACTGTAAGATCTCTGCCATCAATACACTGATGTCACTCAGCTCCACACATCTTTGCTTCATATCACCCAGGTGATGTAGTTCCCCAGCTTTCTTAATGCTAGGTTGAGATGACTCTTTGGGTGAGAACTTCATGCCTGAAAAACAGCTGGGAGAAGCTGACAGATTGAGACCGTACAAGCCGAGACCGAAGCAACAATTTTGGCTACTTCTTTTTAGCTAGGCTTATGATGTGAGGGTATCTTGTTGCACCTTTGGCTGCACCTGGATACGTTGGCAGTAATAGCAGCCAGGGTATTCTGTTTTGTTCTGTTCTCTCATTTAGGAACATGACTGTAAATGCAGACTTCCTCTCATTTTGCTTGTCTGGAGTAACCAGTTATAGAATCCAGGTTTTAAAACCTTTTGAAACATCAGCAAGAGTAAAATATGGTTTCCTTTCTAATTCTTGTCTTTTACCACATTGGTGTTCAATAGCTGTACTGGTTTCCAATTCAATTATAGATGCATATTAAATTACTGGCTTTGTAGTTCACTGTATTTGAAAGACGGATGGTCTCTTACAAGGCAACATGCTTGTGGTCCTTAGGTTTGGATTTACGGATGGATGAACTTCTACCCTGAAATTCTCTTTACTTCTTGGTCTAGTGTGCTGATTTGCAGTGAATACTGTGGATACAAGCTTTAATAACCTAGTATTTTATTTAGGGGAAAATTGCCTACCTATAACCTCCATTTTTACTGGTTGGGAATTATCCATTGGTAATTGTGTCAGTTTAGATTTATTTACAGAGATAATTTTTATACAAAGTATACATTCATCCAGAATAATTTTGACAGGTACACTATATAAATTGATCTAACAATTGCATAAATTGTATAACTGTTGTGGATTTTAAGAGTAAAAGTTTACTAGAAAATGTCCATATAATGGGTAAGTCAGAAAGTAAGGCATGACTGTGGTTTATCAGGCACAGTCATCTGAAGGTCTCACTTTAATCATATGTGCTGTTAGAGAAGATAGTATTACTTCATTTGTCAGTGTAGGGGGGTGAAGCTATTTCACAAGCTAATATAAACACAGTTAGCTATAATCATTTATTGGATTCAGTCCCTTACTGTTACGCAATGATACACAGCTGTTTTACCAGGTCAGAGTGCTTTTCTCTTTAGTTCATGGTTAAGTGTACATGATGAGCTCTGTGTTAGCTTTCCTGCACTGAACACACATTCTTCATAAATGTTTTAGCAATACATTCAGAAAATAGATAGCATAGCTTGTCAGTTTCTACACACTATCATAGTCTGCTGCTGTTCAGACAAGATGAGGACTGAGTAAGTGTTCTTCCATCGAAAAACTGTGCGAGAACTCACTTTCTTTAATAATTTTTATTAAGGCTTTTCAGTTAAAGTACCTCTTCAGAGCTTAACAGAGTTGATGGAAGCATAAATGAAGCCAAGTTTTGCAGTAGAGGCCTGTTCCAAAGACTAGCAAATTCAATAGCAGACTTTTCAGTGATTCCGCTGAATTTAACACCAGATCTTCAATGCAAAATTTGTCTCACTGTAATTTAAGGAGGAGACAAGACAGGCATTTTGAATGTATTTCTTTTGACTGGAAAGCATTGTATCCAATGACTGTATTTTTAGCATAACAAATCAGGTACCTTCTTTGAGCATTGTATTAACTTGCACTACTGATATGTCCATCACATTCATATCTATAAAAAGACGAAAGTTTTCTATTAAAAAAAAGAATGCTTGAATATAATTAACGGAGCCTGCTCTGCTAACTGACCTGAGTGTCAATTTGAAGAGATGGCCAGATCTCCAAAATTTTAGAGTTCAGGTTCAGATTAGATAAACATCTATGAGAA